AGGTGAATGCAAACAGCGCACGATATTCGCGAACTTCTAGGACATATACTGTTCCATCAGTGTGTTAAAAAGAACTAACCGGTCAACAGAATCCAAAGTACCAAGGTTGCACCTCACCTATAAGCAGGTCGCTGAGGGATGTGAAGATCCGATCGGGTTGCCACTGGTCAGTTCGCAAAGCTTGAAATTGACCTTGCAAATGTTTCGTCCCCAGTCAAGATGACATAGTCAGGGGGCAGTACGGAGTGACGATGTTTCCTCGACTGGGGACGAAACACAAACAAGCCCATTGCTAAGCTCGATTTATAGATCAGTGGTCACATGACCAAAAACCCGAAGATGTAGTCTATACGGTAATTATTGGTGTTTCCCTATTCCTCAGACGACTGCATTACCCATTCGGTGATCGCTCAAGTTTCAAGACTGAACTATTTTATTTTATACATTCAGGACTCCATATTGACTGTTTTCGTGAATCGATTTGTTCACATTCATTTCTAGGTTTGTTGTTGAACATTTTGTCCCACTTTGAACTGAACAACATTTTTCTCGCTTAATTTATCCGCGAGCACACTGCCCTTTCTGTGTCATTCTGTGTAGCCAACTGCCCAAGGTTCAATCTAGCCGTAAGCCTTTCTTTAATTCTCCCCACGATTTACTGTTAATTTCTTATAGAACCACGGGCTATCTATCTATACTCTCTGCCCACATCTAATTCAATATATATTGTTTGCTTCCCAATTGTGACTACGGAACACAGGCAGGTGAATTTCGTAGAATTCGGTTTCACCACAGTTATTACTGACCGTCCGTTGGTGAATTAGACTACACGTTGCCTGTCAGATAGGACACCTAGATCGTGTGTCTAGGCTAATTGAGAAATTCCTTGCCCTGAAATGAAGTCTTTGGCACAGGATCGTGCAATGTCTTCCCTGCCGGAATCCTGCTTGCTGGATCCAAGGCCATCTTCACGAGCTTCCGTGGGACGACGTAGAATAAGCGATGCAAAGGGACTGATCACAACAAGTCATCACCACAATTAATGCGGGGGTCCTTTATGAGAGAGGCCACCATTATCAACTTATCAAATCTGGGTGAGGCTGCTTATTTATGGAGGCAAATAAGTTAGGCCACCCTGCCATCATCACCACTTACTGCTTACCGCTGATGCCTTCTATCAGGAGGGTCAGATTCCTGAAAGTAACTTCAGAACGCCTGGAACCTACTGTTCCACCAAAATTTCACTGGGAAAGCTGGTAAGCATCCAGGCCAGTCAATCATTCAATCAATTCAGGAAAAGCTGATGAGTGTTCATGCACGCCACAGAAGCACTACCGAAAGTGATCATCGTTCAGGTGCGTCATAGAGACGATCGATGTTGCTGAGTGTTCACTAACGCCTATCAGACAGCCTGCATCAATGTCAGAAAGTCCCGTTTAAATAGCATGGGGGCGTTGTAACTTTTGCTCTCGCACTCGCACGCACTCACGCTCTCGCACTCATTTGTTCGGAATATAGCGGTTGTGTTCTCTTCTGTGAGTCTTTTTTTCTCCGGCACTAGGCACTGGAACGCGTTAGCAGCAGATACTACAAGTCGGCGAATCAGCGGATACAACACCTTCTGTAACGGTCACGAAGTGTTTTCAAGAAGTTTTTCCATCTCAGTGAACCGACTTGCAGTCAGCAGCACCGCTGACGTAAAGCTGGCAGCAAACGAAAACCTTTGGAACCGAGTTCACTTAAAATCATCTTTTTAATGCCTTCGACCGAGTTCGTTTTTAATTCCTTCGGCTTTGAACCGATTGACGTCCTCAGCTTTCAAATTTGACTGGAGGAATGGGTTGTCAGATACCCTGATGATTGTGCATTCGTGGCCATGTTTTTTACTCACTCACTGCAACTTGTAAGGAATATTTTAGAGGAAAATGCTAGGGGCAAGTCTATGGTGGACGCCGGGGGTACACCTGATTTAAATGACTTGAAAGTTGTATCGATGAGTAGCACATAGACCAAGATTGGTATTGGCTGAGAATGGGTCGATTGATCTGGGTTTACCTTTCAAATGTTGTCCGGTTATTGCGAAGGCTCTGTACATGCGCCTTACAGACATGTGCCTCACCCAATATACGGAGAAAGTCATACGATCAAAACGCATCTTGGGCGTTCGACCAAACCCGATTTTGTACATATTCACTGAACGAGGAATGGGATACTGCCAGGTTGCCCAAGTCTAGACAGGTTAAGTCCAGAGGCAGAGGTCGGATTCCAACCGCGGACCTTCGAACTAAATTCGCGCTCCAGCCACTGACAATAGTATAAGCAGGTCCTTATGCTCTCATTTGCCCTCCATTCCACATTTCTGAAAAAATAATTTTGTAACAAGGACCAAACACAGTGCAGTGCCGGGAAAAGCAACTTGGCCTTTACGGTGAGGTACTGGTGATCAAATCCACAGAAGGTAACATTGCCATTGCTGGGGTAATCTAGTCTCGACATCTCACTCAAAGTGTACGCAAACTTAACTACTGAGTGTTGCTCAATTCGCGCCAGCCGCATCGCTACACCGAACTATTCTTTACCGACACTCAAGGTCAAAAGGTTGGCAGCAATTTGAAACCAGAACAGTGTAACTGTTCCCCCTTACACATGGTTAACACATGACCTTACGTGTGCACTTCTCCCTTCCTCTCCCAATTACAGGTATCCCGGACGAGGCACCACGAGCGCCGGACAGGAAGGAGTAGCTTGCTGGTACACCCCCCTGAGTGACCTTGACATGTACCCCGCGTGACTTGTACCCGTTGATCCAGTTTCGGTGTCAAATATACGTGTGTTTGCAACGCGGCCGTTCTGCTTCCTATCCGCGCGTCGTGCTTGCTGTGCCTACACGTGCTGCTGTGTTTGAGTTGAACCGGGGTATCCGTTGCCTTACAGCGTATTGCGTTGACTCACTCAAGCTACAACGGACCCCCCATTACTTAGCTGTTGACAGCGACCTTCTTTTTTTCAGTTTTGCATAGTAGGTATTATGTCAAATGGCCAACTCTGTATGACCAACTCTCTATTTTTACAGAAAACTTCCCGCTTAACTACTGCTTTCCTAAATAGTGTGTTGTAAATTCGACCGCACACTCACACACACAGCAGTACCTGTTTGCCATCTCTTGAATAACGTCCCCATGCCTATTCGAGTATTTACTAACGGATTATTTGCGAACTTTCTACAGCTTACTGTTGGAAAGCTGTTTAAACAAGCCTTTTCGGTCATTATTTCTAGCAAGCAATGACAAAAGAGTGATTTTAATCAATAAAACCCGACAATCTCACTCACCGGTTGCTGAACCGTAGCTNCGTAGCTCGATGCAGATACTCTTTCTAGTCGAGAGATGCATGCTGTTCTCGTGTCATTAGATTCCAGCTTTTCAAGGTCGTCCTATGGTTTCCCACGGCGGTCACGTGTTTGATCCATCTGGTAAGTTCCGCGTACGATAGTTGTTGATTCGTATCCTCGTCAATCCTTTGGAAGAGGTCCAACACGACCGACCTGTTCAGAGAGGGAGCTGGGAGAAAAAAACGAATCGTCACCTTAATCCCTGGTCGGTCCATTTGACCCATTTCTCTCTTTTAATTGAACCGCCAAAGGAAAGGTCGTTATCGATTGGGACGTTTGACTGAGTGGGCTGCTTTTTGTAGAAAAAAGTCAGTAGGAATAAATACCTCAAAGGGACTCACTAAAGCAAAGACGAGGGTGAGTAATGACCAAGCATTTAAACAAAAGACTGACAATCTGATTCGCCATGAGGGTTTCCACATCGCCGCATCTTTCATCTATCGGAACAGTTCGTTCTCCTGTCCTTATATGTATTTTATCCGACAGGACCAATTTTGATTGGTCGACGAAAGCAACAAACACTTGGCTTGTTCCCTCCAGACATCTTGATTTGTGAATCTGGAAAGTTTCGAAAAATTCCCAACACTGTTTGCCCAGTCAGCTAAACAACGAATCGGGTCAAGTCAGACTAACACGGATCACCTTGGCGATCAACAGTTGTATTTCGTTGAGTGATACATTTCCAGTTTTTGTTTTAAAGAATACCTCAGTTTTTACAGTGCTATAACCGCATCCAGCAATTCGGAAATTCGTGGGTATACACCTCCTGTTTTACATTTCATGGACATAAATTGTAGAGAACAGTTCCCTCGAGAGTGTTTACACTAAACAGCTTCCGGGTTTAGGGTGTGATCCTTGGCCTAACCAATCGCTGGTTGATTCATGGGGAACTTCCAACTCTCGGGGAACAGTCTGAGAGTTTTCGTTCTCATTCCACGCAGAGGACTCCGGTAATACCCAGATTCCCGAAAATTCTCGATGAATTGTTTGAGAACAAACGTGTTGAGGTTCCCGATACGGAACTTTGAGTGACGCGTAGGTTCAACAATCCCAAATATCAAAAGGAAGAATTGGGTTCGTAATTTTACGGCACTATTTACACAAGGGTAAGCAAATGCGTACAACAGACCTTAATTCTTCCCGTTCGTAGCGTCAACAAGTTCACAGGTCTGTCACTGACCGGCACAGTGCAGTGTCAACGTCCGAACACCAAACAACAGCGAGCGGAACGATGGCTCAGTAGCGTAGGTTGCGGTTGTCCCTTCCGACGACGGTCTCGTGATTCTCATTGGACGTGAGATAACACGGAACTCACGAGAAAACAAGCCAAGGCAGACTCAAAAAAACGGGACATGAGCGCACATGGGTAAGTTGGTAAGCATCGCACAACCACACACACAGACACACATGTGAATACACGGGTGTCGGACGGGGTGGCCTCTGTGGTAAGGTGACTGGCGGGTGCGAATAAGCAAAACAATTGGAGATCAAAGGTACATAGGCGGAGTAAGCAAATGAATGGGGGAATTATCATAAGGTCAAGTTAGTTTCAACTCCGGGAATTTTTACTCCTGTCAGTACAATGAAATGTCGTCACATGCAAAATTGAATGATCGATCAAAAGCACTGTGCACAATTACCTTTTGGGAACCTTGAGGATGATTTTCAAAGAGGAGTTCAAACGTACTTTGTGTTTGATTTCGACCAAGTGCGTCGTAGAGAACTTCAATTCACATTTTGTCAGGCTCATTTTAAGCCAGACCGGTAGGTGCTATCGGATCCGTTCTTTTAAGCATCGAGCTATCCGACGAACACACGTTTGACCTTGCGTTTAATGCCATCAGGATTCGATCGTGCTTTAACCGTAAAAGTTCATATGGATGGTCTGTCAATCTTCAATTCGTTCACAGGATTGCTGACTTAGCTGACAAAAACTTTCTGACCACTCACCATCATTCAATTGACATTCAGTCCTGCAGTTGAAGTCAATCTATGCTGAAAACCCGGAAAGCACTGAATAGCTGTTACACCCTTGTGGGGAATCATCAGCAGTGTACATCTGACGAAATTCCAGTAGTGGATTTCGAACCCATGACCTCCCGGCTGGAAAATCCAAACACCTCGTCCGCAAACGAACGACTGATCAAGCGTGTTGTTTACTCGAGCGCCGCGCATACTTCAGTCACGGAAACCACATCACGTGGTCACGTGTTGACTGGCTGCTCGAGTGAGGAGTTCTCTGATTGGTCAGAACACAAAGGTCTAATCGACCAGCTCCAAAAACTGATCAGCAGCGCTTGGTTCCTCTGCTAAAACTTAAAACTGTTACTCCAAGGGTGAATTGTCAGGAACGTTTACGCTGACGTGACACAATAAAAACGAAATCGGTCGCGTTTTCGAGTCCAACCAGCACCATTCGTATCAATTCCGGATGTTGTGAAATCAAGTAAATTTCTAGTAGCCGTCATGGGATAATTTTGTGCATGAGCCTACATTTCATGTCTACTCTGGCTGCTGACTCCATGCAGCACCACGGTTACTCAGTAAGTCTTAATATGACCTTGCACTGTTTGATTTTCCAGTCCAGAACAACACCAACCAGTTGAAAAAACACCAAGTTATCCCACAGGACTAACATGTATCACCTTGTTTTGGCCTGTGGAGGGAACTTCCCGATGAGTAAGCGGAATTCCTTCCTGGCGGAGAATGTGATATTGTAAGGTTTCACGTCTGCATTCTGTGGACTATCAAATCCACGTGCTTACCAGTGTGATGCAGTCAGTGGGCAGTGGGATAGTGTCAAGCTCCGCGTTCTCATTGGTGTGATAAACGTTCATTTGGATAGTCACTTGGTTATTTAGTTGACAGTAGAAATTTATTCCGAAGCTCTCATTTACTGATGCCAGTGGGCTGTCGAGACTTTTCATGAGCACCTTATGGATACTACTGATCCATACTTTGATATCTAAATGCTGCACTGTGTATTCATTTGAAAGGGTTGGGTTGAGTTGTAGTCGAACTGCTCCGCCAAAACTATCCTAATTTGCAGACGCGCGTTCATCACAACGTATGCACAAATAAGCTTGATGGAGCGGTAGCGACTTGTCCAAATCTCCGGTCAACTTCGCTGGAGCGGTCTCAAGACAGGTTGAACTGGAGACGCTCAGGACGGTAGTTTATTGACCTGACGTATGCGACAGCTTAAACCGCGTTCTTATGAAGAAATCAAATGAAATTCCAGGTTTACCGTGGTAGATAAATTCAGTGTTCCCACGTTCTGGAGCGCTTTCGTGTTTCAGTGTGATTCACGCACTTTGAAATTCAAAACAGGCGATCGATTCAAACTCATTTAACTGACTCGCAACATCTGAAAGGGACTCAATGAACCGCATATCTATTGTCTATATTTCCAATGTTCACAAAGCACCGACATGGCCTCGAAGTTGAGGATACTTCCTAGGATGGAGTAGATAGTAAGGGGAAGAAACTGGACTGGCTCGGGTGTTTTTGAATTCCTTAAATTCCGTCACCGTTCGATCCGATGCATTGTCTGGATCACATGCCATCCGATGGTTTTGTGATTAACAGAACCCCCTTCTTATTTTCAACAGTCTGTTTGATTCCTTCGATCCACGAATAGGTTGCAGAGAACTCGAAATGCACCGTCTACTAGTGTAACAGTGGATATTACTGATAAGGAATGCGAGTAGTATGTGGTTTTATCGAAACTCCGCCTCGCCTCTAATGGAAGCTAGGGTTTATCACGGAACTTGTAGAAATGCTGTGCAGCGTTCGTCTATAATTGCGTGATATTCAATGAATATTCATGAAAGTTCAAGTAGACGCATGAGAGTGACCAGTTTTCAAAATCAGAGTGCACATCAGACGTTTACGTTCCTGTCTTTGCAGGCATCTGGAAGCGCAAGAAAATCAATGATCTTCTCGGTAGTCGACAAAAACGGAGGGAGTCTCGAATATTGCAAACGTTGTTTGTGATAAGAAAGGATCACCTCTGAGTGAATCTTACCAATCTTTCATCAAACAGGCGCTGCAGCTGAGTTTCTGTCAACCTCATGTTCTACTTGAACCCAGACTGCACGAAATTAGCGAACTACACTCATTTTCGAACCAATTTGGTTTTGTCGGAGCTCACCTGGAACTTAGCTGAACTCCTCGTTCCAGCAGAAGATAGGATCGACGGAAACTCGGGGATTGCACACATATGACCTCTAATGGAAGCTAGGGTTTATCACGGAACTTGTAGAAATGCTGTGCAGCGTTCGTCTATAATTGCGTGATATTCAATGAATATTCATGAAAGTTCAAGTAGACGCATGAGAGTGACCAGTTTTCAAAATCAGAGTGCACCTCAGACGTTTACGTTCCTGTCCTTGCAGGCATCTGGAAACGCAAGAAAATCAATGATCTTCTCGGTAGTTGACAAAAACGGAGGGAGTCTCGAATATTGCAAACGTTGTTTGTGATAAGAAAGGATCACCTCTGAGTGAATCTTACCAATCTTTCATCAAACAGGCGCTGCAGCTGAGTTTCTGTCAACCTCATGTTCTACTTGAACCCAGACTGCACGGCACGAAATTACTACACTCATTTTCGAACCAATTTGGTTTTGTCGGAGCTCACCTGGAACTTAGCTGAACTCCTCGTTCCAGCAGAAGATAGGATCGACGGAAACTCGGGGATTGCACACATATGACGAACCTCTGATGAAGAGCGAATCCGATCGTCGGCTGCCACTTGGTTTTTAGCGAACGTGTGAGTAGTATTCTTCAAGAAAATGTACTGATATGTATAGATTCTTGTGTCAACTGATCTTGAGCTGGCATTTTTGCTGCAAATGCTGTTGAACAAGGGGTAAATCCAACTGAGATTCAGTTGACTCTCCGATCAAAACCTAACTGACCTGTAAACGGTGCGTTGTTAAGGCGCTTCACCCTAACGGGCATTTTTAATTTGAAAAAGCCAAAAAATGAGCCTGCATTCTACAAATCCCACCACCACCCACAAGTAAAACGAACAAGTGTCCAGTAGATCTCAAGCGTCGGTGGAGTGGGAATCCTGACAGGCGGGCCAGTCGATCGACATAACGATTACTACTGGATGGGGGCATGGAGGTCTCGTTCGAGGCTTACCATTCCCATCACTCAACGGCGAGGATTTCTCCTGTTCAGACGTGAAAATTCTGACGCGTCCTGTGTGCTCTGTTGGAGTAGCGGTAACACGCTCGCCTGGCATTTCGGATGTCTGGAGTTCAAACCATGACATTGGTAATGAGCTCTAATAAGATTGGGACCCGAGTCCAGTTCTTCTCCTCTTTGGTATGGACTCACCAGAATGATTGCACCGAGGCAGGAGGACGAGAGTGACGTGAAAGTGCATTCTACCAATCTCGGAACCATCTACAACTAAAAAAATGAATTTTTCCAACAATCGCTTGGTTTCAAAAACGCCAGGCCTTTTGCAAATCGAAAAGAACACCACTGACAGACATCGCTGATGCTAAACACTACAAGCCGCTGAATAGGTCAATAAGGCTGTGTGTGTTGACATTTTCCAGTACAGGACAGTATTCACGTGACCTGACGCAGGATGCTGTCAGATAGGGTTATCTTTCACTCAGAAATGTAAACAAAATTGAATACACAAACTTTGCTTTAACCGAAAATCCATCGCAATAGGCTCCTGTTTTCGATAGTACATCGAAGTGAGACAGTGGTTCACGGGATCAGATCGTTGATCCATATGCTCACGTGACAATTAACCTGAACATCACGTTGGGCAAACAATTGAACTCCCTTGTTATTGATTTTAGAGAGACTGAGATCGATACTTGATTCAATCTGGCCCACCTATGTTTGGACGGGGCCTTGGCCGAATTCATTGTGTTATCTCAGAAAATCGACAACCCGGTGACCTAGTAATTATCAAGTCCGTGGTGAGGACTCTGAAAACTGAAAAAAAACAGCCACAAGCAGTTCCCCGATGGTCAGTGTTTTAACTATTTCTGAAGCATGATTTAGACACTGTAAAGCAAATGTTGTTGCCATCGCCAAGCATGCACTGTGGACCTCCACGTTTCATCAACCACTCTGCAGCCCGAAGTTCAACACACTTCCTGTAAGGCTGTTTTGTTGTCCACGATCTCTTGGTCTCTCCGACTCTGTCCGGTGGCCTTGCATTTTTAAGTTTGCTTCTCTTTTCTTTGGTTTGACACATTTTGTACACGGAGGAACATGAACAGGTTGCTCTGCTCCAAAACTTTTGTGTTTTCAGTTTCTAACTTCAAGAAAGGGAATATTTCTCATCGTACTTTTCTCGAGTTCCTCCACTTCCTAGGATTAACAACACTTTTAGTAAGCCTTCATTTGAATTAAAAGTTTGTGTGGAGCTGCCTTGTTTCCGATTCAAACGATAAAATCTACACTATTTATCAAAAGTCCAGCATCGATCGTTGAGGGTGCGTAGCGCCTTATGGTGG